TTTGCAAAATACTTCAAAGCTTATTCCTTACTTCCCAACATTAGCGTCTTTTGAAAGTAAGATGTTGAATGTATGACCTATTTTGTGGCAGTCACTCCCTAGTCTCAATCCTGTTCATTTCTTGAGAAACCCTGGAAGGATCTTTCAGGATCCTCACTCTCCAGGATCTTGTCAAGTTTTATTCAGGATCCTGTTTCGAATCCTAGTAATTCCTGTTTTTAGGATTTTTCAAGGTTAAACAGGATCCTGTTCAGGATTTCTTCAAGTTCCTGCTCAGATATTTTTCTGAGTTGAGAATACAGGATCCTACCAGGATTTACTCTAGATCCTATCAAGGATCCTCACACGATTATAAGAGAGGATTCTGCCAAGATTTGATCAGGATGCCGTCAAGACCTGTTCTGGATCCTGATACAAGGATCCTGTCAAGAGTTATAGTTATATCAGAGGAGGATCTTACCAAGAAGATAGCAGGATCAGTTACAATCATAAACTGATAAATCTTGCTAAGCTTTGATCAGGATCCTTTTCCAATTCCTATTTATTCTTGTTATCCTAGACCTTTCCAGGATCCTACGCGGAACTCTTCAGGTATCATTATTTCGAATCCTTACACAACAACACCAACCATCATCAGGATCTTGATGAAGAAATACAAGGATCTAGTTAAGATCTTTCCAGGTTTGTGTTTAGAATGTATTCAGAATTATATTTTCAGGATCCTATCAAGATTTATAACTGATCCTGTTCAGGATCCTGGCAAAAATGGATGTAAAGGTTTCATCAAGATTGTAGCTGATTTTTGTTCAGGATCCGTCCAAGATTGGTAAATCTATAGATCACAACATAATTTAAAATACCAATGTTGAGTAAAATCTCAATAGTGATAAATGGGATGGTTTTTTAAGATTTTATTGTGTTTTTATCCTGCACCTGGCAGAATCCTGAGGATTTAGGATTCTACTAGGATTTTTATCCTGATCTTGATTTGAATCGTTGTATAAGCAATCCTTAGTCTCAATCCTGTTCATTCGTTGGGAAAGCCTGGAAGGATCTTGCAGGATCCTGTCAAGTTTTGTTCAAGATACTGTCTCTAATATATAATAATCAAAAGAAAAAATTCAATTTTTACTATCCAGAAATAACGAATTGATCTGCTGTTATTTATTTATCGCACATCGCTATTAATTATAAAAGACATCCAGCAGTATCAACTAGATAGTGACTGTTGATATCATAGACCTCAGTGCTATTTTCGAATTATGGCAAAACTGCTAATATAAGTTTCGTTATTTAACTCAATAAAATGGGTGAGATTAGAAACAAACATCCTTTGTATCCCTCTATTGAGGATCGAATGTTCTATTGGTTACGTGTAAGTGGCTAAAAATAGAATATCATTTAGTTTAAAACTTAACGGCAAAACTTGCCTCGATTCTATCACGGATCGTCTCTTAACACTTCATCTGCTTATCTTGGAAACATAGCGTAAAGCTTTAAAATTTTTATATTTCTGTATATTTTCTAGTTCTTACAACTGTATTATTGTGAGAAAAACTGGAAATTTTAGCCACTTACACGCAACCAATAAAACATTCGATCCTCAATAGAGGGATACAAAGGATGTTTGTTTCTAATCTCACCCATTTTATTGAGTTAAATAACGAAACTTATATTAGCAGTTTTGCCATAATTCGAAAATAGCACTGAGGTCTATGATATCAACAGTCACTATCTAGTTGATACTGCTGGATGTCTTTTATAATTAATAGCGATGTGCGATAAATAAATAACAGCAGATCAATTCGTTATTTCTGGATAGTAAAAATTGAATTTTTTCTTTTGATTATTATATATACTAGTTTGAGCTATACAATCATAGCCCTAGGGAAAACCTTTGGTGTTTCAGTACCACATCCTTGACAGATTCGACAAGGATCCTGCAAGGATTCGCTCTTTTTTCCTAAAGAAACGACTAAATCCTGAAAAAAGCGTGTAGCCGCGGAATTTCAAGATCCTGACAGGATTCAAAACAAGTCTTTTAAGGATCCTAACAGATTTTTCATTGTTTTTGAACCAGGATTCGGTCACGAAACGACTAAATCCTGGAGGAAGCGTGTAGCCACGGAATTTCAAGATCTTGACAGGATTCAAAACAAGGTTTTTCAACGATCCTGCCAAGTTTTTTTCAGGAATTTTAGATATCTTGTGAAAAAAGTTTTCCAGGATCCTTCGAGGATACTGTCGAATTCCACTAGACTTTCATCTAAGTTTCTCTAAGGATTGTGCCAGGAATCTGGTGAGATTAGCTGGATAAGATTGAGTTAGCATGTACTTACAAGAGCAGAACTTACCAGTATCGTGACAGGACTTGATCAGGATCGTTGCAGAATTTTCTAAACAGAACAGAAGAAATGTGAACACATAGAGTATTGATCTCTTGACTTTCAGTTCATGAACTGAACAGCTTACCAGCTGGACTGTGTTCTCGTATAGTATTGAAATAAAAAGTGACTTTTGTGCAAGGGGAAAAAATTGCAGTTTCAGTATGTTGCCGATATTTTCGGTATGTAACCGGTATGTAAAAGTTCTTTTTCGAAACGTCGAATAAATAAATAATAAAGGAAGATAAGGTATGAATCTTAAAATAGCTGCTGTTCTTATCACAAGAATTTTAAAAATGACATCCATTAATAAAATTAACATTTTTAGATATATTGGATTTCTAAGCGGTTACTACTTATTACTGTGTCCACAAAAGCCATTTTTCAAATAACTTTTGACTGACAATGGCTAGAGAGTTGGGGTTTTCGTCATTCGATAGCGACATCGCCACATCCTTACGTAACAGACAAGCTTTCCAAAATTTGCTGAAAACCCAATTTTTCAACGGATCTCTGAAAAACCGAGTCATAACACTGAAAATTCAGGCAAAAATAAATAGATTATTTTTCATGAGTAGTTAGCCCAAGGTGTTTCCTACAGAACGGATGCCGGGCGAGACCTTGATTTTCAGTGGTTCAGGTGTGATATTGGATTTCTTTTGAGCCCCAGGACTGGTACTTGCCGGCATTGCATGAAACATACGTAGTCAGCCCCAATGAATCTGGTGGCAAAGCTCGTTTTTGGAAAATAATTCTAAAACATGGATTTATGCTGTGATTTTCAGCGCTATGGCTCGGTTTCCAGAGATCCCCTGGAAAACTGGATGTTCAATCATGACGTTCACAACATATGTGAATAATTTCTTGAATGATTGATTTTATTCACAACCTAAATCACGGAGAGTGCATTTTAATGATAAACTTGGTCTGAAAACGACTTTTCAATGATCGCCGCCAGTGTGCAATGTGGATTATAGTCGATCTCAGTTTGAACGAATATATTATAGCTACACAGCTTCAAAAAAAAGTATCCTTGATTACATTGACTTTCGGAGACGTATGAATTCAGGATCGAGACTCGAATCCATGGAAACTTCGATGATCGGCAAGGGAAAAGCACCATCGGGGACCTGCGATGCGCATCATATCCGACATGCGAGAGTCTGATGCATTGAGCAAGTGCTTTGGCCAGATGAGCATCGGAGAACCATGGGCAAGAAAAAAGGCAGGGATACGGGTGGCCAATGAAAACGAGGGGAGGCTTCTATTGAGATTCGCAGAGTACTCATCGACAGACATGATCTAGAAAGTTCACAAAAATGAAGAGGTATTGTGTTGTTCAGTCTGTTGAGCGACGCAATCAGCAGAGCAAATTAAAAATAAACTATGTTACCCTACCCTTGTTTAGTATTGCAACACGCTCACATGCTCGAGCAGCAAACAGTTTTGCTTGCAACAGAAACAAGAAACTGGTTGTTATATATAGGGGAGAAAAAGAACACAGTCAGCATCGCTTTAGTTTCTTTGTCTTCGTTCGTCGTCATTCTGACGTAGCAAAAAAAAGTCAGCATTGCCGCGTAGTCAGAAGAAGCGGGGATGTATTACGCGAGACGGTCCATCATACTACGTGGTAGAACGCAAGAGGAAAATATTTTAACTGTTGCCATCCCCAACTTTTTAATATACATTGTGTCTGCACGACTATGTATTACCACATTTCATAAGACATGTATTGCTGCAGGGCATCATTTCTTCTCCGTGATTTCGAAAATTTATTTTTGTAAAACTAATAGACGCGATACACATTTACTCACATTATGTTCTGAATAGTCTCACACATTCAAAAACTGAGGATGGCAAGAGTCAGCATATTTTTCTTTTGCGTTCTCCCACGTGTTGCGATGAGCCTTTCCTACAGTACATCCCCGCCTTTTCGACTAGTGTCAGTGCTGTAGGTTTTTGCTAAGTCAGCATGACGAACCAATATTAAGAAAACAAAGCAAAGTTGATTCTGACCGTGTTCTTTTTCTTCTCGATACATTGTAATCAGTTTCTTTCTTCTGCTGCAAGCAAAACAAGTAACGCTCATCTACAGATTCGTTGATTCTTTTCTGAAAGTAACTAATTGACTTCGTCAGTCTTCATTGTTCCAGAGGGTGAGGGTGTTGATTAAATGAATATCTCGAAGTGATTTTAGACGAAAACTGAATCACGGCGAATGTGTTAAGAATTTTCCATGTTATCTGATGCGACGGTAGACATGCGTTACTCAACTCAATAAGCAGAACTAATTGACATTGGTGTCAATCTTTTGATAGAGTTTAAACTGACGAAACATTGTTAACTTCATGCTCCCTTCTTGAAGTATCCAATCCATCTCAAACCTGATGGTTTCTGTTATTGCAGCTAGAATTCTGGAATGATCATCTCACAGTGTTGTATTTCTTATGTGTACCGGTGTCCAACAGTGGTAGACTTTTAGAATAGTGGAATGAACGATAGTCCGTACTTTCCCCGCTCTGGATTGAAATGAATCGCTTACTCCCTATTGATGGAGAAAAAAGGATAAAAACAAGTTGGGACGAGGAGTGGTGAGCGTCGTTGCATCGCGAATCTTCAGCAAAAATTGTAGGAAACAATCAGAAAAAAACAAAGTTTTAAAAGATTGAGGTGGTGATCCTCCCGACTTCCTCCACTTGGGACACTTTCAGCAAGACGTATGACAGCTTGCGTCAAATAATAGTCGCCATAAGGCAATGCAACATCATAGACAGCTTTTGGATAAGGTCCTTGTGTTCCATTTGCGAGCAAGGCAGGCAATTTATAGTCTTTATTGCCAGAGATCAAATAGGTTGGACTTGATAATTGATCGACGATTGCCTTTGCTCTTGTCCAAAAACGATCTCTAACATCCAATGTGGGTGCATATTGTGATAGTTCAAGAAGACCACTAGCGAAAATAGCTGCAGCGGATGTATCTCGCGGCTGATAGACTAGGGTTGAATTATAAGGGGTGTCAAAGTCCCAATATGGAACTAGATCAGTGTCACTCGGAAGGCGCGCGAGAAAGTAGTTTGCTGCACCAATGGCTTTGTCAAGGAACGGTTGATGTTTCGTATAACGATAAGCGACGGTGAATCCATAAACAGCCCAAGACTGACCACGAGCCCATGTTGACCAGTCCGCATAACCTGCGTGACAGATACAGTAGTAGAAAAGGATTTAAAGCAACTATTCCTCTCACCTTGTGCCGTGTATTTACGGATAACACTGCCATCCGTTTCATTGTATTCAACAACATGATAACTACTGTTATCGGTCCGGATATGTTCATACATTGTTCGGTTCGCATGGCTCCACGCTATATCATAGAATGTTTGATCGTTGGTTAAATTAGCCACTTCAAATAGAAGTTCTAAATTCATCATATTATCAATAATAACTAAAAACCCTTCTTGGCTATTCCATGAGCGTATACATCGAACGGTGGATGAATATCGAGTTATTAACGAGCGAGCAGCAGTTACCATGATATTTAAGTATTCGTCACGTCTCAATAGCCGGTAGGCATTACCATAACCAGACATAATTACGAAACCAACGTCATGTGTGTCTGTTTTATTGGCAAATGGGGCTGTTGGTGCTGTTACATCCATCGCACGTCTTAATCCATCAGAACTATTATTATATGCAAATAAATTCCAGAGAACACCCGGGAAAAATCCGCTTGTCCAGCCAGTGGTACCTGTTGTAGATTTCCAATGTGCTTCTAATGGGTGACCATAAGCAGGATAGAATTCTCCTGACGAATTGACAAATTCATTATAGAGAACGGAATATTGATCAGACGCATAGCGCATCACATCAAAAGCAGTCGCACCCGAAGAGATCAACAATAAAGCCGTGAAGAACGAGAAAACAGCCATATAACGATGGTAAGCGACGTAATACTATAGAATAGAAGAAAAAGGCACGCTTCATGTATACATATATACATGCTGACATCATCGTTTAAGTAAGAATTGATAAAAACTCTTCATATCTGTGTTGTTTTCTTTACCTTCTTTACCTTTAAAACATCTCATAGTTCTGATACAGAGAACTTACAATCGGTTTTGTCGTGTCATCTATCCGTACAACTAATGTGCAAAAAATAACGTGTCTTAGTCACTGGTTCCTTTTTTCAACAATCTTCACAGTGTGGGGGACAGAACACCAGTAGCAGTCTGTGCAGTTAGATTACCATTCGAGAAGTGCGTAAGTATACGATGGAGTAGGTAAGATAAAACTACCACCATCGCGATTTCACCTCAGCTACGAGGATCATCTGATGGTT